TAGGAGCTCCCGCCTTCGCCTGATACAGAAGACTTCGCCTCGGTCATGAACACCGACTGTCCGTGGTCGCCATGTTCCTGCAGGACGACTTCTGGACATGGGGAGGAGGGTGTCTTTGGCGCCGCTGTTGTCCGGCAGCACCGATGAGGGCTCGTCATTGACAAATGTGATAGGAGATTGCCACGACAGATAAAAAAAGAAGCATTGATACCCACCCAATTTATCTCCGTGTCCTGGGTTCAGGGCAAAAAGAAGGGATCTCATATCTCGACGTGGGCCTGATTCGAACAGACGCTCCCGAAGGAACAAGATTTCTAGTCTTGCGCGTTAGACCACTCCGCCACCACGCCTTTACTTGATGCCATTTAACTGGCAGAAAGTCACTACTTGATGCACAGAAGCAAGACGACTCACCCCCGCCGCTGTTGAGCTCCTAATCCTTTTCGTACCGGGGCGATTATGGCGGCCTGTCTCCCTTTAAGCGCAATGACCAACATATTTGCAACCCCATAAGCATTGCTTGGCGTGATATATCCCCCAAGCCTACGACGACGGGGACGAGGCGAATAGCGCAGCGAGGAGCGGCTCCTTTTGCACAAGGGGGGCCACGACGTCGGCGAGCTCGACGCCTTGCGTCCTGAGCACGGCCGCGAGCATGGCGCCCGTGGCGGAGAGCTCGCTCAGGATGGTACCCGGTCGCGTCGCCTGGTCGCAGGCGGCGAGCCAGCACAGGGACAGGGCGTTGATGATCTCGTCTTGCCACGGCGAAGTGGGGATGCGCGGCCAACATGTCTGGAGGACGGCCTGGAGGGCCTTGATGGCGGCGAGCAGGGTCGCGGGGGCGGCGGGGCCGAAGGGGTTAGAGAGGATGGTGCTGAGCATGGGGATGAGGTCCTGGATGGGATTTGTGAGATGGATGGCCGGTGTATGTGAGGATTGGGGCGGGCGGTGGAGGCTTACCTTGAGATGTTTGACTGTGTGGATACCCAATTGGTTTGCGATGGAGATAGTTTGCTGGCAGAGGACAGTGACGATGCGGGGATGGTCTTTGCAGTGAAAGTAGGCGGAGAAGACGCCCTCGCGAAGCACCTTGTCCAAAAGAGTAGAATTTGGGCGTGGCTCTTTGGTTGTTGGGCCGGTAGTTGGGGATGCTTGTTTTCTTGCCAGGCAAAGAAGCGCCTCGAATGCCGGGCCGAGGAGCTGAACAGACTCGTCCTCGGGGGTCAACGAGGGTAGGAAGTTTAGGGTCGGGAAGATGGCGTCCTCAAAGACCTGGGCCAGACCCGTGCCGTGGAGGGTCTTGCTGGGGTACTTTTCGAGAAAGCACTTGAGCACCAGAAGGCCCTGGCGCCTGACGCCGGTTGACTGATCGTCGACAAGGGTGAGCAGGACTGGGATGAAAAGGGGCCAGTGTTTGGTGATGAATAGTTCCTTGACGCAAATGATCGGTCAGTCTTGCTCGCTCAAATGCCGAAAGGGGGGGGTATCAACGCACATCTGCTTCCCTGATGACCCAGGCAACGGCAGGAATGGCCCTCAAATCCGTGAACTTCCAGGGCTTCGTCTCGGCGGAGTCGTCCGGGAGACCCTCGCCCCGACCCCTGAAGGGGTCTACGAATGCTGCTTTTCGTCCTGACGACGTGATGGCCTCTGGCTTTGATTTGGAGAATAGCGGCCGTAAATAGCGCTGGAGAACGGACTCGGCCATGAACTGCTCCTTGGCCGGAGCATCTCCAAGGAGGCGGTCTAGGAGGTTGGATGCCTGCGTCGACACCTCGACTGACGGAATCCATGGCTCCGACTCGTCCGCGAACGCGGTCAAGGTGAGAAGGACTTGATCCGCAGCTGCCACTGCGGATATTGATCGTTGCGCGAGGAGGTCAAGACACCTGATCGCCGCCTTGGAGAACTCGGTGCCTCGTTGGACAATATGGCGGTAGGTTTCCGGTGTCTGAGATGTGTCGTCGTCGTCGTCGTTGTCATTGGTGCGGGGCCTACTATCCAGGCCCACGAGAACCGGCGAGATGGTTTTGGCCACGGCCGCGGCAGCGCTTTCGATCTCGGCGTCACTGACTGAGAGGCTCTCATCCTCGAGAAGTGAGGTGAGTTGTTCAATGGTGCGACTAATGGTATTCTTTTGATTGAGCTGGAACTGAGAGTCAGCACTCAATTTTATGGATGAAGTAGACAACAAGGCGACTCTTCGAGGTCACATACCCTATCCCCTTCGTTTGTAATGGCGCTGAGGGCGCTATTCAGGCCGGCCGCCGCCGTTTGGAGAGGTCTTGAAGAAGCCATCTGGTGACGGTCGAATCCCGAAATTGGGGGCCGGCAAGATGAAAAATCTCCGGCAGTGTAGGTTTCCTCCTTTACAGCGTCGCGAGGAGGAGTGTGAGTCGAAGGCGCCCAGTGTACGCCCTAGCCCGGTTGCTGAAGAAAGCGGTGCCAGCCCAACCCTTCTGCGGTTTCCTTTTTCGCAGATGTTTGGGGATGGAATGTTGGATGGAGGGGGCATTTAAATTCAGGCTTTGGCCGCCTGTAATACAGTGCAATGGGAGCTGGAGTGCGGGCCTGTTCATCCCCTAAGGGCTAAAGCCCCGGTTGGGCAGACTCTCGACGACATGGACAATACTTTCATTTCACCGGAAGTTGGACGCTGTTTGGCAATCTGGGTATCATTGTAGGAGCTCGTTGTCTCTATCCTCATACCAACTAACCGCCCCTCCCCCAGTCTTGACCTCACTGGACATCTACCTAACCTCCCTGTATCGGAAGCTCGCCTCGCCGCTTCGTCACCTCTTCCAGGGCCCCAGCTGGGTCCGTCGCCTCTGGGTTTCGTAGCTGCCACTCCAGAGCGATTTCTTTCGCCCTCTTTACCCATATCCCTGGCTTCAGTCCAAGCTCTCTCCCCAGCATGTTGCCGTCGACAAGACGCTTCAGCTGGGGGACATTCATGAGATCAAGCCTTACCAGGTGGTCCAAGAGCTTCTGCCATTCAGCCAGCACATCCTTCACATCTGTCCCCTTGCCTGCGCGAAGCTCTATGTCTGCCAAGATGGCATAGAGCAACTGCAACCGCCAGTGTCCTACTCCTGAATCCCATCCTACAATAGCCAGCCCAAAGTAGTCCCGCTGAGACATTCTCGCCTCTGCCGTGCAGACGGCATCCTTGAGCTCCACCATCTTAGGGCGATGGCTGTGTGCTGCGGTGATTATGTCGCTGACTTTGTTGGGGGCCTTGAAGCCTTCTCTAGCCACCAGACTGGACAACGGCGGCGCAGACTTCTTCCCTTTTGGCCGAGGGTCGGGGAGCTGCTGCTCCCAGGGAACGACAGTTGCAAAGACCCAGGCTACATACTTCTCCTCGTCGTTCGCCACAAGTCTGGCAAAGATGGAATCAGGTGTATTATCTGCCGCGAGAGAGTCGAGACAGGTATACACAACACCCCAGTTGGTGGTGTCCGGAGTGGGCATCTGACGGCCAGGGTCTGTAAAGATTGTGTGATACAGTCCAAGGCTGTCGATCAACTTCAACGCCACGCGGGGATGATTGCCTGTCTTCTTGTCAGCGACATCTCGCCGGTACGGGGGGCATGGCTAAGCGGTGCTCACCCTTCAGCATCTTCTCCAACTCGACACCTACTCTTTCTCGACTGATCTTGACCTTCAAGTTGCGGAGCACAGTCTCATCCGCCATCACCTTCGCTGCTGCCGGGTCGATGGTGAACCCCAGTCTGCTGGCGAACCTAATCAGTCTCAACACTCGCAGCGGGTCGTCCGTGAAGGTCTTGAGTGGTTCCAACGGCGTCCGCATCAACTTGGCCTCAAGGTCCGGCAGGCCGCCGGTGAAGTCTTCGATCGACTCTGTATCTAGCCTGTAGAAGAGCGCGTTGACCGTCGCATCTCGTCGCTCAGCGTCTTCTTCTGGGGTCCCAAACTCCATCTGTGGATTGCGGCTGTCCTCGGCGTACGTCTCGCGCCGCAGGTTGACAAAGTCGATGTCCAGTCCAAACAGCCGCGATGTCGTGGTCTCCAGGTGCTTGGATTTTTCTGGGTTCCGAGCCACCTTGTACAGAATGCTGACGTCCTCCGGCCCGATGGAGTGCTTCTCTCTGTTGGCTTCCGATTCACAAAAGGTGCGCAGGCGCAAGGCAAATGCCTCGCCCGTCATGCAGTTGATGGCGGTGTCGATGTCGTGGCTCTCGATTCCCAAGAGTTTGTCGCGCACCCAACCGCCGGCCCAGCGTAGCACGACGGGCTCTGGTTTGGTCTTGCCATCTTCGGCGGTATCCACAGGATTGGTGTCTATGAAGTGCGCAACATCGACCAAAAGGTCCTTGAGTCGTTTCTCGCGCTCGTTGAGGCGGATAGTGGGGGTTGTAGACTCGGCCATGGTCCTTTTTCTGCAGGGTGATGTGTCTGGTGAGGCGGTTGAGTGTCGTCGCTTCATGGATAGAAGAAAAGAAATGGACCGGGTTTGGGAATACCGCAGTTGACGCAGAAGCATAAGTCTACCCTGTCATCTCAGTGCGACTGGTGTCGTTCAAACGAGCCACCACCCGCTCCTTGGGCCTCGCCGATGACTCACGGGACCAAGGACGGCGAGACGAGGGGAAGTTGAATCCAGCGGCCGAATATCCTTGGGAACTTGTGTAAATTGGCGGGCGCTTTCCCAAGTGAGGTTGATGAACGTAAGGAGAGGTTGTGGGTAGATTTGAGGTTGCCTGTCGAGGGTTGAAAACGGTGCAAGTTCAATTCACTGGCTGCACTGATCGAGCTTTAGCCCCACAACTGCTTCCGCTGAACTGTTTGCTCGCCAACTGCAGCCTTCAAATCGCTCGAACGTCCAGCAAGCTTCAGGTGCAAATCAACTGGGTTCGATTTCTTACAATCCTCTCACACCACTTATGTGAGCTAGTTAACTCGCAGTAAAGCCCTCGTCATTTCCTAGAAGCCCCCCATGAGCATCAAATCTGGACTCGTCAAACATCAATCACACAGGGCGTGTGGCTCAGTTGGTAGAGCGTTCGCTTAGCATATTCTGGTAGAGCTTGTCTTCCAGCAGATATGCGAAAGGTCCTGGGTTCGATTCCCAGCTCGTCCACAGTTTCATTTTTGCACCCCTCACCAAGGATGATATGATCGTCAGCTGCTGGTTTTTTTTTTGGCAGACAGGGAGGATATTGCAGCTGTGCAAGCTCATTGATTTAGCCTTGCCTAACATTCCATTGGGGGTTCTCAGGATGGAATTTTCGGGAAGGGCACGGCGGTTGATATTCGGCTGTTTCCCTCCCAGCTCACCCTGGCCATGGGGCCGTGCGTCAGTAGGGATGGGGGCTTTCGCGCAGCCGCAAGCAGGGCTGCATGCTCGACAACTCCAAACACTCGAACCTTGTCGAACCTTGAAGCGGCATCACCAACGTCGCCTAATCGTACGCCACCCGAACTAAACCTCCACCCTCCGTTCCAGCCACAGGACGATACACAGCGACCTGCAAACATGGTTCGTCCCCCCCCCCCACCCCCGACCTTTCACGCCTCTGAGTTGACTGACCGCGGCCGCTCGCAGTTGCCCCTCGGCCTCCTGAACGCGGCGCAAGGCCACCCCATGCTGGTGGAGCTCAAGAATGGCGAGACACTCAACGGACACCTGGTACTATGCGACACCTGGATGAATCTTACATTGCGGGAGGTGGTGCAGACAAGCCCGGTATGAGATGCCCCCCGGCGCGTCGGGCCCGAGAATGCGGATCTTGCGCCAGGACTGACAGGTGCTGTAGGAAGGAGACAAGTTCGTGAGGTTACCAGAGGTCTACGTCAAGGGAAACAACGTGCGTGCCCTCTCGAGGAATGGTTGCCACAAGACACTGGGCTGACGTTCGCGCAGATCAAATACCTCCAAGTACAGGACGAAATCCTTGACATTGTCAAGGAGCAGCAACAGAACCAACAGGGCGGGTACCGTGGCGGAAGAGGTGGCCAACGAGGAGATCATGGTGGAAGGGGTGGTGACAGGGGCCGTGGCGGCCGTGGGCAGGGAAGGGGCAGAGGACGTGGCGGGCGCGGTTCATGAGCTTAGAGACCGCATATTGGAGGTTAATAGGGGCTCTTGCGACGACGGACTACAATCACCTCTGCCGAGGCGTTCCTTTTGGCCACACTGCTGGCTGCCTACGTACCATCGGGGCAGTAACAGGGACTACACGAGGTCTTGAAGAGTGATCGGAGATGAGGCCTGGCGGCCCTGGGGCTGTCGTAGAATAGGGGTGGGCTGCTGAGACCTACAATAGAGGACGGGTCGAGCAAGGGCACTGCGTTGGATGTTGACGGAATCGCTGCCCTGTGGATTTAACAGCCCGGGAGGTTAATATCGACTTCTCAATCCAAAATGCCACGCCTGGTTCTGCGTCTTGGAGATGGCACACGTGATGCGGTGTGGTACTGTTTGTATTCTGTTCCGCTTGCCGACGGCAGCACGCCAAGACCAAACTTTGGACCCCTCGACCTCCTTTCGAGCCGGGATCAATGGAAATCTTCAACTTTTCCCCATAGCTCACTACAGCACCGGGCCGAGTCACGAATGGGGGCAGCACCTCGGGTCGTCGTCGATGGGCTGTGGCGATGTCTCTGTCCATCCATTGACGCTGCCTTGTCCGCCAAATCCCTCCTCGCGCCCCGATATTTCATCCACGCGAATGGCCTCCAACGCCGCCCACCATGGGTTCGCCAAACCCGCGCTGCGCATACCGACGCTGATGCGCAACAACCGATTCCGAACCGCAAGAAGCCATACAGTTCCACTGACGTGTATTACATGTCGAAATTGCGTCCTCTCCCAACCAAAGCTCTCTATGAGGTCCTACAGAAGCTGCGCGGGCAGCAGGTTCACGGTGACCAGCCCATTAGGATCAGGCGCGTTGTTCGCTACTTGATCGAAGACCGCGGGGAGAAGCCAAATATCTTCCTGTATGAAGCACTTGTTGTGGCCAACTGGGATAGTAAGATTGGTTCGGCAGACGAGCTGGTGCGCATCTGGAACGAGATGAGGGCGGCCAACATACCGCCATCACAAAGGTTCCTGCACGCCGCTCTCAAGGTTCGTCAGACCTCCCCGGGATTTCCCCCTGGTTCTGGTTACTCATGTGGCCAATGTATGTAGCTACTTGTCAACCACCCCAACTTTGTCCTGCGCCAGGAAGTCCTCGACGAAATCCGGGAGCGCGGGTTTCTGCTCTCCGACGAAGGGACATGTAGCGTCGCTCTCGGACTGCTCCGCGAGACACAGTACGAGCTCGCAGTGGACAAGTTCCAAGAAATGATACGCGCAAGCGTCGAGATACCCCTCTGGGTCTTTGACATCTTCATCTACGAGCTCGGAAAACAGGGCTTCGTCGAAGAAGCCATCGACCTGATGCGCCAACGCCCACCCCCACCCGAAAAGCCCCCCTCCACCCCCCCCGACGACCTCTGGTACTTCCTCCTCGACCGCAGCAGCCAGGACCTCCGCTACGAGGACACCAAGCTCCTCTGGAGCCTCACCGTCGAGCGCAACACCCTCACCCCCTCGGACGGCATGCTCACCAACGTGCTCAACACGGCCGCCCGCTACGGCGACGCCGCCCTCGCCACCCAAGCCATCCGGCTCCTCTCTAACCGCCTCCGCAAGCTCGCCCTGCACCACTACGAAGCCCTCATCGACTGCTACGTCCACGGCGGCGACGCCTCCAACGCCGTCAACGTCCTCTTCATCATGTCCGCCGCCGGCGTGCCGCCCGACACGGCGAGCACGCGCTCCCTGTACCTCCTCCTCAAGAAGTCCCCTGAGCTCCTCGAATCCGCCATCGCCGTGCTCTCCGCGCCCGAGAACCACGGCAACGTCCCCGCCCCAGCGCTGGACCTCGTCCTCGAGATCCTCTGCCAGCGCGGCGACGTCAAAGGCGCCGTCCAAGTCTACCGCGACCTCTCGTCGCGGCTGCTGAGTCCCGGGCCGAGCGCGCGGACGTTCGAGCTGCTACTAGAGAGCCCTACCACCCCGGAAAGCATAGAGTATCTCCTTGCCGAGGCGCGGTTCTACGGCGTCAGTCCGGCTGGTGTCTACGACCGGCTGGTGGCCAAGGCGGCGGCCGCCGGGGAGATGGAGAAGTGCATGGGGCTGCTGGCGTGGATGGAGGCGCTGCCTCGCGTGAGGGGCTACGTGCAGCAGCCGTGGCTGAGCAGGCGGACGCTGCTAGCGGTTCTCAAGGGGTTGTTTGCGAACTTGGATCCGCGGGCGTGGGATCTTGTTGACCAGGCGGAGAAGAGGGGGATGGATGTCAAGGAGGAGGTAGAGGGCATGTTGTCGCTTTCTGACCCTGAGCGGAAGCAGAGGTTGAGTGGGAAACAAACAAGTCTGAGACTGCAGAGTTCTGAAGAGGAAGAGGCTGCGACGGAAGGGGAGAGCGCTCGGTAACATCAAGGTAGAAGCCATACGCAAGACAAACATGTCACGACAAAGCCAAGTTTGCCGTGGGTAGACACTTGCTTTACAAGCTACTCCGCTGATATTGCATCCCGTCCCCAGGGTCGAATTCCCAGGGGCGGACACTCGCCTCTAACCTCAATGCAAAAGGGGTATCATCTCCACAAACAATCACCATGTAACGTGCTCCTCCTCCCTTCAAAACAACATGGTCGCATCCATGCTCGAGCTCCCAGAGAGCAAAAACGACCAGCTCAGTGAAACCCATATCCCATTGGCAGGTGCATTCCGCGCCCGAATAAACCCTGCCCCCGTTACGCCGGTCCCTCCGCCCCAGTCCGTTTTCCCTTTAGTATGAACCTCCGCTGAAACCATGTAGGATGAACGCCATGACCTTTGATGAAAATGCGCAAAATATACGCGCTAAAACGAAGGAAAAGGTTCCCCTGCTAGACTGACTTCGCAGTCCCGTTCGCAGCGACGCTACGCAGGAAGGAAAGAACCCCAAAAAGTCAAGAAAAAGGTTAGTATGTACAAAATACACATATTTGACACAAAGAAGCACTCGACCGATACCCCCTAGGTTGGGGAATCGCGTTACTGCCGGGCTTCGATAGGTATCCCTGCCGCTGTAGCCATCATGGCCAAACGTATAGAGAACTAGTTGCCTAACGGCTTTGGTTGTTTCGCAGCAAATCATAGAGCGCCTGCTCGCCGCCATCGATGCTGGTGTACGTGTGGCCGGAGAGGTTCATCGAGCGGTGATGCGGTGGGTTGTGCGCGCCGCTGCCGCCGGTGTTGCCGTGGGTGTGGGAAGCCGCACCGGCGAATGCACCGCTGTTGTTGCTGCTTGCCGCCGTCGAGTTATAAGCCAAGTTGGAATTGTTAGCCGCATTGAAGCCGTACCAGCTCTGCTGTTGCTGTTGCTGCTGCTGCTGTTGTTGCTGTGGGGCATTGTTGGTGTGCTGCGGGTTGGAGTAGCCGCTGTAGCCCTGCTGGTGCTGCTGATGAGACTGCTGAGATGGCTGCTGCCGCTGTCGCGGCTGCTGTTGAGGTTGTTGCGCATGTTGGCTGTATGTGCTCGACGGTGCTCCAGCTTGAGCTGGCGGCTGAGGGCGGACGTTGAAGCTTTGGAGGTTCTGAGACTGTTGCTGTCCGCCGTAGGCCGTGCCGGTGGACGCGGGCTGGCTGTCACCGTACGATTGAGCACTGCGCGATTGAGGATTGGTCCCCGTGGTTCCCCACTGCGATGAGCTCGGGGCCGTGACCGTGGTAGCGTTGTAAGATGACGCCACCGTCTGTGACGCCGGGTTGGCCAGCCCTGTGGATGCCGTGCTGCTTGCTTGACGAGGATTGTACGTGTCGTAGTCCGAGTAAGAGTTCGAAGCTGTCGACGCTGGGTGGTTGGAGTACGGCTCATATGCCACCCGGCTGTTGGACGACTCAGCACGAGAGGTCGAGTACTGGTTATAATCATAAGCCGCAGTCGAGGTGGGGATTGAGGCACCCGTGCTCGGGGCATAGGCCGGGGCCTTGGCAGCCGCTTGGTTGACTTGAACCTGTGCTGGCCGAACAGGCGGTGGTGCGGCGGGGACTGGAGTTCGGGTTTGAGGCCGATTTGCTTGACGAGACTTTGCGCGTGCAGT